GCTCATCCCTCAAAATCGCCTTCATCCGATGCAGGCACTCAGGAGCTCTGGCCACAGTGACACACGGGTATTAACACCCAGTGATTGGCCTAATTGGTCAGGGTGTTGCTGAGGAACGGCTATTCCCTGAATATGCCCAGAGGACATTTTCATCATCCATGCCAAACACTGGCCCCCGGCTGTCTCGGCTACTTTCTCTGTCCTGGACCCAATCCGCGCACAGGCCGAAGGTGGGGGTTGGTGGGGAGATGTGGTTTTCATGGCCTCCTCTGCAGTAATCACCTTTCCCCTCTCTCCTTCCTCCTCGCTCCTCCTCTGTCTCACCAGATCTCTTTCTCTTCCTTTTCCTCCAATCCACACACCCCCCAGGAAACAATAAAAGGTGGAGGGCTTGGCAGGTAAGCTGTTAATTCACTGCCTTGGTGATTCTGGTTTCCGTGTCTTCACTGGAGTTGCCCGGATGTCACAGAGGGAGAGGCCAAGGGTCTGGCGCTGAGTTCAAGTTGCTTTGTTTTATCCTTGGTTCAGGAGCCCTCTTCTCTCTTGAGTTTCATTCTGCAGATTTTCTTGTCACTTAAATAGAAATGGGGAGGGATCTTCTGAAGGTAGAAGCACAGTTTATGTCACGTTGCCTTTTCCAATAAAACACCCCCTACACCGTCAATGTGCGTCAACTCACTAGCCAACGTGAAGACAGAGCTTACTGTCAGGTGCAGCATCTCCACTACGACAGATTTCTTTTTTTAGTCATAATAATGATTCATGTTAAGGCCAAAAACTCAAAACATTTTTCATTAATTTCTCGTGTTTTCTGTTATTTCTTTTGTAACAATTTTTCTATGCTTTTTTATTTACCTACAAGTTGTTTTATTTTGTTTCTATAATTTTACTATTTATTCTGATTACAGTGTCATTGCAAATATATGAAAAAAAAACCAGACTTTTTTAAAAAAAAGAAATAAAGATTATCTCGAATCCCACCATTGTATATATTCCTCAAGACTTTTCTGTGCATATGGACATGCACATGGCTGGTTGGAGATTATTGTAGGTGTTTTTTGTTTGTTTGGTTGGTTGGTTGGTTGGTTTTTTTTTTTGAGACAGAGTCTCTCTCTGTTACCCAGGCTGGAGTGCAATGACTCTCACTGCAACCTCCGCTTCCCGG